TCTCTCTCTCTCTCTCTCTCTCTCTCTCTCTCTCTCTCTCTCTCTCTTTCTCTCTGCTATTATCTTTACGTTTACATCATATGCCTAAAATAGTTTATTATTTTGCAACCGTTATCTGTCGCATATATCCAAGTGTCTCGCGATAATTATGCAAAAACATCTATAAAATGACTCAACACACAATGGGTTTGCGTTGTCAACGCAGTCAACGCAACCACCAGGTTTAATCATTTTTTGCGATGCATCCGCTTTATAAAGAGAAAGAAATACAGTTAATTAGTTATCACAATACAGTTATCACAAACGATACACACAATTTACATATATCAATATTTTTATCTTTTTACGTACTAAGTAGGAAATTAAAGTGATATTGCTTTAAAGTATAAAACTCTTTGTTTGAAAATTACTTATATATTTCCATGAATCTTATCTTATCTTATTAGATGAGTTTATCGTTGTTTGTACACAAACTTATCAAATGAAAATTCAAACCTAAAATAGTACAGTGGAAGAGTTTTGTTATGAAGATGTCTCCGATTTTTATGCTAAAAATAGTAATTTGTGAGGAATGAAATAAGAATTTAAAATAATATAACTGAATAGTTCTAATATTTATTTATGCAATTGTCTGCGGATTCAACTTTATACCAGGTACTTAATATGAAAATGTATTCAATGATTTTTTAAACTGTATAAAAAATTTTGATTTTAAGGTATAATAATATATTCGCAAATCGTCGCGTCGCGTAAAAGATTCACGGTCGGTCTCGCTCCGCGTGTATAATACTTGGCACGAGACACTACCGTGTCTCTTGATGAGAGCAATCGCCCTCGCATCTTCATGTGACAGATTGTATCGCTTGTGCAACTCATGAATAAACTATTTTTCACTTGTGGTCCTTACGAGTCAACACTTTAAACCTTTTATTTGTAAACGTTTATAGATTTATTCCTTTGTAGATCTATAATAATAATACATGTCGGATTTCTTATAGTGGATTTTGATTCATAATTTCATGTGCCGTGTATTTTGATTTGTATGTGTTTTAATATACGTATATGTTTATATATGTATATACGTATCTCAAGTTTTCTAAAATATTTTTTTAATAATCTTATATCGCGTAATATGAAAAACACTTAAAGAATTTGATTACAGATGCAATACGAAATATATTGTATATTACAATACACATCTGCATCAAAATATTCACAGTAATACCTACAGTTATGAAGTAGAATTTTATCCTGAATCTGATGTAAGTTATATACGGCACTCCTAGATTTTCCGACACCTATACAATAGCAAATAAATTTATTTTTTCCTCTTGCTAATATAGTATAGCGTCTATAGTCTATATGGATACACGTGTGCAGCGCAGTATGCGCGCCGCGGGGAAATCCGATCCAATCGCCGAGGAATGTTTCGCGAACGCTTCAGGAAAAAAATCAAGTCAGCAGGCGCGCTAGCGATCGAAGCGGGATTGTGGAAGGGAACCTGAACCTGAACTGAAGTTTCTAATCAGATGTGCACCAGTAGATGTGCACCATTACGTCCTGACAGAACGTGCTAAAAGCTCGCGCTCGGAGAAAACTTGTCGCGGCTGTAGAGCTGTTACACTTATGTAAGTAATTTTAATCCGGTTAATTATATCACTCTTTTCTCAACGCTGAAGTCGCTCTGTCTAATCTATCTTGCAGTTTGTTCTTAAGGTCTCGCAGCTTCTTCTCTCACAAACTTCATCAGCGTGTTCCACTAATTGTAAGGGAATATTAGGAAAGAAGGTTTTATGCAAATGCGAGCCCGGCAATGCTTTATTAAATTGTGCTAACAAAACGTCGTCCGGGAGAGATGCTATTATGCTGTTATATGCTAACTACTTTCTAACTTTTTTCAGCCAATCGTTTTCTAATTAAGCCACCATGATGGAATGCATAAGCATGCGCCGTTCTAAATTCCATGATACTAGAAAATTATGTTTATTAGTGATTAGCGAAAGATTATCACGCGCGGAGATCATTTTTCGCTAATTAGAAGATTTTTTTTCATTTGCGAGTCAAAATTCTACGTCAACGCTTACTTTAACGCTCCACAATTATTTTTGATCCGATTTTCTAACGTAGCGCATTTTTTGACATTACTACGACTGCTAAGCGTGATTAATTCAACCGGTAGAATTATATATTTACAAAATTTCTAATTATTCAGTAAGCAAACTGATGTATGGTGTAGTAAATTGGCATCAAATTCGATCAAAAATTATTGAATTGGCATGATTTGTGTCCGCATTAAGTTCGTTTTGCCGATAGAATTATCTACTGATATAATTGACAGTGGATTGGCGGCAGAAATCGAATGGAATCGAAGTCGAACGTAGATTCTGTCCTATTTCTGTCGCCAAACTGCAGTGTAATAAATACGTCAAAGTTTGTTTGTGATTTCTACCATCAATCCCATCATATTTTGTTAACAAACTTTACTATATTTCTGTCAATATTATTCTATCAATATTGTACGTGTCACATTCTTTTTGTCATCAACATTTTTAACAAACACTATGCAGAATCTGTTCTTGACAAAGGTTTGTCTGGGATAATTTATCGTCCTCTCCTTTTCCATGTGCCACAAATAACGAAAAGTCAACTCTGTTCATGTACGTTAACGAAATACTACTGAATAAGTAGATCGCCGATTAAATTAATCGGAATTTGGTTGGAGTTTAACTTTGTTCTCTCGAAATTTATTTTCAGATACACTCCAATATTTAGACTACTTATCCTTCGTTTTACGAAGGCCTTTCTTTTCCCTTTATTATTGCATTTTTTATCCGTATCGAATTTTTAACATGTATCGAAAAAAGCCGAAAATTACTATTATGGGAGGTGGTCCCACCTCTTAAAACCGTTTTTTGTCACCAACTGAAAATTTCTAATTTTATCTCCTTACTCCACCTACATGTATGCAAAGTTTCATTAAAATCAGAGTTTGCGGGTTGGCGGAGTTTCCCCTTTGTTAGGGCTCCCGGATCTGCCGAATTTTTGCACGTGCGCAGTTCAGGGATTACAAAGCAGTGACGTATACATATATATGGGTTATTCATAAAGACGAAAATTCGATAGATTTCAATGATCGGGGTAGATCAGGAGTGTTGGAATAAAGCAAACATCAATTTTACTCAAATAAAATAAGTTAATTAAAATTATTTTGTACTTTGCGTCACATTCTCGCTAACTTGTCAATTATTTTTGAATGTTTAAGATAATTCTTAGAAAAAATTTAACAAGAGAGATGGTACGATACCCTTTCTCCCGAAGTAGATACTTCACTGTGAGACTAAATTTGACGCGCATGCTCGGGAAACTCAGCTCAGCTGGGGTCACTGGGGATAGTGGGAATTGTGCGATTGTGGGTTGTGGCCGTTGTGGGATTGACTATTTACAATTCGTGCGTAGAGGCACGTTTTTATCTCTGCTTTACAAACACGCTTCCAGCTTTGTCTAACGAGATTGACACTAACTTGGTATGAGAAGTTGATAAGGAACGCTCCGAAACTTACAGAATGGAAGCACTTGTAGTTTCATGGGCAAATAAAATCGTAAAAGTTTTAGGTCAGACAATAACCTGAATATGTAAATACACTGAGCATGACATTTGCAGATATTCATACACTACGCAAAATTTTAACATAAAAAATATTCATATTTTGGAGTTCTCTCTGTTACAAGCTCAGTTTTTCTCAGTATAAAGTGTTACAAAACAGCTACAAGCAAAAGTTAATTTTTTGCTGTTGTAAAATCCAAGATATTTTAAGATTTGCTGTAAAATATTTTCTTTTTGCTAAAATATATAAACGAGAGAAATTGATTGTATAATATAAGCTATTTTTGCTTTTAAATTATAAAAGAATTTATGTTTATGCTTCTGAAGCTGTTGAAAATTTATTAAAGTCACAATTTTTTATATAAGTTATTTTATTATTTTCTATCGGTTTTGTACAAGTTGTGAATCGAGTTTTTCTTGTTTCAGAAAGAAGAATTGTTGAGATTGTCAAATATGGATCAAGTATGGATCATTATTTATCTATTGGTAGCATGTGCACATCTATCATATCAGGTAGACATAAAGCAACTTTTATCTGTTCAGCAATGAATTCTTAATATATTTAATTATATCCAATTATAGGTATCACTCGCTCTGAAGCAAACTATTCCATAAATTCTATAAGTTCATATACATATTTTATTATAGAGATCAACACCAAGCTCTCCGACGTACGTAGCAGCCGTAGTGGAGTATCCTCCAAAATATTCAATAAACAGCAGTGAGACTCTGAGAGTAAATTCTGACGCTTATGTCAGGCTTATTAATGTGACTAGTCGTAATGTGAGTATCTTTAGAAAAAAAACAGTTTCACATATTTCACAGATTATATCGTCAACGAATTAGTGTGTTCTTGTCATTATGTTATAAAAATTATTTAAAGCGTTTGAATATTATTTAGAATGCTGATATAATCGTTTTCCCGGAAGACGGCTTGACAACAGTTAGGTTGCCCGAGAGAGAAAAAATGGAGGATTGGACAACCGTCATTCCTAGTGCCTCACATAATTATATACCTTGTAGTCAAGATACTATTAAAGTCAGCGAAGTATGTACAATTATTTATATTGTGAGAAACTAGTAACATCGATTATTTAAAAAGAAATTTTGGATTTACAGACATTGAGAAAAATATCATGTGCTGCAAGAGATAATGAAATCTATGTGGTAATCAATATCGCTGAGAAAGCACCTTGCACTGACGTGCTATCTTGTCCAAGAGATAAAATACTCTATTACAACAGTAACGTTGTATTCGATCGTACAGGAAAGATTATTGCCAGGTATCTAGCTTCTTCGTTATAATGACTGTTGCAACACATCTTGCTTGATATACATGTCCAATTACAATTAATAGGTATCGTAAGACGAATCTTTTTGAAGAACATCAATTTAATGTGACAGCAGTACCAGAAATAGTCAGTTTTTATACTGATTTTGGAGTGAAATTTGGAACTTTTATATGTTTTGACATATTATTTCGCGAACCCGCAATACAATTAACAAGAGATCATCAAGTTACTGACATTGTATACCCTACAGCGTGGTTTTCTGAAACACCATTCTTAACAGGTAAACGAAATGTGGTAAAACCTTTTCCCCTTTTTTATCAAAACATTTATACGAATATTATTTATTATTATTCTAGCTGTACAAACGCAAGCAGGATGGTCATTTGCTGAAAACGTAAATCTTTTAGCTTCAGGCTATAATAGACCTGGCTTTGGTAATGCTGGCAGTGGAATTTACTTAGGTGTGTAAAATTACATTTTAAATATTATATAATTAGAGCCTTCTACCGTGCGAATATACATATATACGAAATAACATTTCATACAGGTCGTAAAGGAGTCGGTAAAGCAATAATGCCTGCAATTACACACGAGGAAGTATTGATATTTCAAGTACCCAAAATAAAGGACAGAACTAGGTATGATAAAAACTATCATGATTTTTCAAAGGATGAAGATCAGAAAGCTTGGCCACATTATCATGAAAAGAATATACAATTACTGAAAAAGCAGGAAGACAACACAATGATAGATAATGATACATTATTTTTAAAACACGACAATATTCGAGTCTTTCAAACGCTTTCCCTGGAAGGAAATGCCACGAAAACTGTCTGTCACAATGGTTTCTGCTGCGAGTTTAAAGTAGAAATTGCGAAAATAGATCTAAGTACTAAATACCGTTTAGTCGTTTTTAATGGTATTCGTCATTATTCCGTCGTTGAAGCTTACGTACGTGCATGCGGCATAATTCAATGCTCGAACAACTCGGTCTCATCATGCGGTTCCGTGCAAGAATCAGAAATGGTATTTAGCAATATTGAAATTGCGGCAACGTTCCACGATTATAAGAACAATTTAATTATGCCGTCTACGTTAAATCTGGATTTACTTCCGCTTGAAAATTGGACATTTAATGAACACGCTCACGACGATCATGTGCACGTTAACATGTTCCTAAATAACAATACAAACAATTTAGTAACATTTGGAATATACTCGAGGAACTTTAAAAAGAACAATGCAAGTAAAATATCCTTTTACACCATTAATTATTTCGTAACGTTATTACTGATTTTGTTTTCAAGATTGTAATTTGTATATTTATATATGCAACATTGTTCATACTTTTATCTACGTTTAGATATAGTCTACGTACATATATTTATATGTGGCATACTTACGAGAAATCACGTACTTTTTACTTACATTGACAAATAATTCTACTTGGCTAAGTTTTTTACTTCTCAATATCAAGAAATAGAGAATTAAATCAAAAGTAAGGGAAAATTGGTGTACAAAAATTTGGCAGTGGACTAAAAAAAAGTAAGCAGTGGCCTATAATATTTGACGGCATTGTCGTCTGTGGTTGGGCAGTGGTAATAATGACTGGTGACAGTGGCAATGCAGGAGGCATTGCATAGCATTGCCAAGTCAGAGTGTTCGAATTTTATTCGGCATTGGCTCGGCAGTACTTACGGCAATGGTGTACAAAATTTTGGGTTGTAAATTCCCCCTCGATCAAAAGTTAAATTTGAATCAGCACTTTTTCTTGCCAATTCGCAGCTTGCGACATCTGTAAATATAGATAATTTGGTTAAACATATTATATATGTACATAAAAATGCATAATATATATTTTTGATAGAATCATATACCTACAAATGTATTAGAATTCTATTGTGCTAAATGTGCTAATCTTTGAATTATTGTTAATAATTACGAAATTATTACTATGTTTATATTAAACTATTTAAAAATAATTTAAAATATAATTGTTACAAATGTGACTGATTAGGCGATTTTTGGCGATTGTTTGGTATATATACCAAGGTTGCTATTGGTAGGGGCGGAGCTTATGCTGTTATCACTAATAGGCTATTTTTGGCGTGACTCTGGTATAGCAACCGAAGTGTACCAAACTGTACCAAAGCCACGATTCTGTAACTCGTTATGCAGTATCGTTATATTATCGTTGCGCAGCTTTTTTACCATAGTATATCTGCAACGTACGCGCAACATAACGATAACGATACTGCATAATGAGTTTACACTTTACAGAATCGCGGTTTTAGTACAGTTTGGTTGCTGTACTCAGCTATACCAAGTAATTTTTACCTCATTTCGAGATACACAATCGACCCCAGAAAATCGCCTATTAGTGATATTGACAATTGAAGTGAGAAAACGTATGAATTTTGTTAAACTTCAGACTAGTTTAGACGTTAAATGTGTGCGCCAAATATTCTATAACGACATAATAATAAATGTATTTAGAAATACGTTTTATTATTAATAAAAATGTTTTTTCCAAGAAAACACGTACTCAACGTTTTCGTTGCAAATTACGATAAACGCTTCTCATTCTTGCTACAATTATACCAAATTAACTGTAAGTATCTATATAAAAAATAAAATCTTTTATGTAATTTATCTTGAGAAAAATTTTAAATCTAAATAATTACTCCTAAATTATATTCGAAGAAGCCTATTACTCCGATCAAAAATGCACAAAGCATATCTTCCTCGCGAGATTCTTGTGTTACTATATGTATATTATGAATCCCTCGATTGATCTTAATTAGTCTATGATTATTCATTAGTCATAATTTATACAGTTGGTCTACAATTAATAATATATTTGCAGTAAATCAATAATTATTCCACAATGATATTCACAAATGTGATGACAGAATGTTAATAATGAATGATGTAATAATTATATCTATCTGTTTGTCATACTAATGCTATTGTACATAATTATTTCCGCGTTATCTTAATTCAGACTTTAAGAAATTGCGCAGATTTGCATATACTGACATACCAAAACCCAATTTTGATGAATATCGACGAAAACCCTTGAAAGATGCTGGAACAGCTACAAAAAACGCCGACGAACGAAGAGCGTTGAGAAGCGTTGTCTCTTTTGGTAATAATTCCAAAAAATTTTATTACATCACATTTCTGTATCATTTATTGTTATTTCCAAAACATTATCAAAATATGCCTCCTACGATAATAATAGAAGATTTCTGTAGAATTTTCAGCTATTCCCTGGTAGAAAAATGTCTCAGAATTTTTTTTCATATTATTAATTAGAATTTCCCAATATCTGTATAAAAATCTGAAGAAATATGAGAAAGATTGCACAATTTATCAGAAACATACAGATTGTGAAATATTCTGGAAATCTTCATTCAATTATTTCTAAAAGTATCTGAAAAATTTTACATATTTTTTCACAAATCTAAAATATGAAAATTTTTGAGAAAATAAAAGATATTTTTTCACTAGGAAAATTAGACATATATACAAATTGAATACAATATTTTCAGTTGGTTGTGTTGCCGGATTGTACGGCTTTAAAGCTCACTTATTGCATTATGTATTTTTCTTATCGCCCTCGCGAGATATTTTGGCGGAGGCTCAATTGGAAGTTAAATTAAACGATATACCAGAGGGAAAAGTATTAATCGTTAAGTGGCGCGGCAAACCCGTTTTTATATACCATCGGTAAGAGAACCAATAATTAATAAAAGAAACTTAATAATTAAGGGAAAGCAGGATAAAACTGACACGCACTAACATACACACACAATCCACTATCACAAGTGGTCTAGTCGCTGAATCGTTGCTGAATGCCTGTGTCTGCGAAATAAACATAAAACTAATTTTCCTTTTCATGATTTTTAATTATTTAAAAGTTTAATTGCCGCGCTCGAACCTTGTAAAATTTCAATCCTTTTTACTAATTTAAATAGAAAATACAGTCATTCTTGTTTAGGGCTTTGTTTTATCCTGTACTTTACAGAATAGAATATAAACGTGTAATACAAAAATAATATCAATAAATGGATAAATAACAATAAGGGACTCTCGATAATGAAAGTAAAAAGGAGCTTTGAGCAGAGTGCAACGCGGTTGACAATGCGTAAGTTATAACGTTATCCCAGCGAGAAATGACCCATCGATTCGATGGGATTCGATGGGTCATTTCTCGCTGGGATAGCGATCGAAAGAAATAATGAAGTCTCCAAACAAAATACTTTTTGAAGGACTTTAAAACAAATTTCAGCGAATTATTTGATACTGATAATAACGTCCGATAACATCCGATCGCTAATTAGATTAATTTTCTAGGCCACAGTCGATCATAGAGCAGGAGAGGGCGGTGAACCTGTCAGAGCTGCGCGATCCGGAAACAGACGATGACAGGGCGAAAAGGTCGGAGTGGCTAATTGTATTGGGTATCTGCACGCATTTAGGATGCGTGCCGATTCCGAACGCCGGTATCATACGGGGCGGTTTCTTTTGTCCGTGTCACGGCTCGCACTTCGACGCGGCCGGCCGCGTGCGGAAAGGCCCGGCGTCGACCAATCTGGAGATACCCGAGTACACATTCGTAAATGACAATAGTATTGTTATCGGATAACGATGCGTTTCTTCCGGATCGAAACCTATTGAAGCATATTAAATGAGATCACCGAAAAGAATATAATGTACATATATTGCAGGACAAATTTCTATACTTCCGCTTGCAAATTCCTTGATTGAACAATATATATAATGGAATTTTATTATATATATTGTCTCCCAATAATGTATTAAGATTAAAATAATGTCTTGGTTTTAAAATAATGTCATAACCTATCATGATTAAAAAAAAAAATCTTGTAACTTTAAAAGTTTATCTTCTAGAAAACAATTAACTTTCTTCTTCATCCTACAGATGATACAACTTTTTGGTTGATCGATTATCGTATCGCTTTTTTACGCGGCACGTGTCCAGTATGTAAATAACATAAACATTCTTAGATGTCGCAATGAATTTTCTACTATCTAGAGCGAGAGTCTAATATTATCCATAGTTTTTTATCAATATTAATATATACCCAGGTAGAACAGAAAGTCAAAATAACGTTAAAATGATGGTAAAATGATGGTGAAATAACCAAAAATCGTCATTTTCAGTCATTTTGAAATTATTTTGACTTTATTGTGAGTTGCTGTATGTACCTACTACCTAGGTATATCTTATTAAAAATTAAACATGCTTTTCAGATGCCATTTGGCATAAGCCATAAAGCTTTAAAGATTCGACTGTTTTATCATCAGAAATGTATAAACAAAGATAAAACAGGATTTATCACATGAGTTATCATATATGATAATATAGTAAAAGAGAGCTATCTGGTGGGTAGGGCGCGGCGCCAAAGTGGCAAAACTACAGATCACGAATGGTAACCGGGTGTGTGGATTGCCAACAGAAGTCCCAGATAGGAAAAATTTTTCTTGAAAAAAAGTAGACGAAACATTATTTATTGCAGTGTCCATCAGTCATACATCTCCAATTATTTGTTACTAAAATTAAAAAAAAATTATTCTAATCGTGAAAGTGAGTACGTTTAGGTTTTTGTGATCTATCACTTGAAAACAAAATTAATGACTACAAAAATCTACACATATACCCATTTCCATGATTTGAATAATTTTTAAAAAATTTGATCCGTTATTTTGAATCCGCCATTTTCAATTTTGAAATTTTAACATGTAATGGAGTGACCAAGCAAACGTATAGGTACATACCGACTATGATAGTAGCCCGACGGCTAATTAAGTTCTCCTAAAGTTGAAGTAAAAACTTTTTTAATTCTGACTGTATAATTGATCGTGGAGAAGTGCAAAAGAGGCACCCTCCTTTTTCTTGCGCAAATGCACATGAAAATGCACTAAACAGTGAAAAAATCTAAAGTCTTTCACCAATACGTTTACTTTGAAGAATCGAGGGGGCTTAGACTTTGAATGATTTTGAGCCCCTCTCCCACCCCCGAGAACCTCTTTTTTAGGAGCCTCAAAAGTAAAATATAAAGAACGCCCTTGATTACTCTTAAGAGGAATTTTACCGTAAAATGCGTTTTTCTATATTTCTTAGCGTAAGTGAAAAATCGGGGTACAAAAGATTTTTTTAGAACTTTGACTCCGCATAACTTTTGATAGGGGGGTTTAGCCATCTGCGGTTTTCATAAAAAAATTTTTTTTTTACTAGACCTTTAAAACGAGCTGCAATTTGATCCCCTTTTTCACTAAAATTTTTTTACTTGCACCCCCGTTTCTTTTATTGGCCAATAATTAAGGCTAGCGCCATGGCTGTCGAACGCACAGTCTGTACAGTCTACCACAGTTCTAGCACGAGTTAATATATAGCCGTACATATTTGAAGAAAACACAGTGGATGTGTCATAACATTCCCCTTGTCGCTAATTAAACTCTTCGTGTACTTCTCATGTGCTCCGTTAAAAATTTATACGTGAATTTGGTGCCGCAAATGTGAACGGTAACGGAAAAGATGATAATTGAAACCGCGGTTTCAAGTATCAAATTTGTATATATTACACACATATATTTGTTACCCTACGCTACTGGGTAACTAAATCCCGGTATCATAAAGGCAAGAAATTCAGACATGTGGGCTATTTACAGTATTTACTCCCGGTCTCCCCTATCTGTCTTTCTGTAGGTATCTAACATAATATTATATTTTAATTTTTATAAACAGTATGCGCTGCGCGCAGATTAGTTATAAAAAATGCAGTGACATAAAAAGGAAACATCAAATATAATTTATATTCACATTGTATCTCTACTGCCATGTTATGAAGCAGTATGTATATTATTGCATATGTCGTATGTTTGATCTTTTAACGTTATTCTGCATATCATTTCGTGTCTTTCAAAGCGCAGATAGTTCCATAGATTTTATTGACCATAAGACAATATAAATTCAATTCTTACGTAAGTAGTAGTCGATCTTAAATAATTTATTTGGTCTCTACATTTTTCTATTCACTCTATTAGTACATATAACAAAGGAGATAACGATTCCTACGTTTTGCATTGCTAGATTATTAAAGTATAGTTTTACTATTCACGTTAGTTTTGTTTAAAAGTAAGAAATAATTGCATTACATATTTAATTTAATGGAATGTTAAAACTGTAAAATAAATTACATTATATCTTTTATCTAAGAAATGCAAAGTAATATATATTGCATTATACATCTTTAATCTAATCCAATATAAGATACATTGTAATATATTTTTACATCACTGCCATATTGCGAAATAAACGCATGTTATTGCACATATTGAATGCTTGCTCTTTCAACCTTCCATTATTTCTTGCACGTCATGCATTTCCTGTTTCCTGTAGAACAAATAGTTTTAAATATAAAATGATTATAATTCAATTCGTACGTAAGTATATAGTAATACATAAATACTAATCATGTATATATAAATAGTTACTCTTTCTCTTTCCTCTCTCTGTATTTAATTTCCTATTGTATTATAATTTCCCCCCCCCCTATTTTAATTCTATTTATGTTTAATTATATTTAAAATCTAACTATATATAAAATTTCAAGAACAGTATGTACTGCAAATAAATATAACTTGAATTTCAATAATGTCGGGGCTATTCCCTGTTCCCCTATATTACCTTATATAACGTTTGCTCTTTCAACTCACACTGCATATCATTTCCTGCGTCTATCATGTTGTATAAATAGTCATTAAAATTTATTTAAACTTTACCTGCATTTTTCTGTCGACGTAAAAGCGATTCGAAGTGTTTCAATATCTTCACTTTGCGTTACGTTGCTATTGTATAAGTTGTACTGCTCATATTAGCTTTATTTTAAAAATAATCAAGATGACAATTGATCCGGCTAAGTCGATTCCT